GTTATTTTTTTCTTATCTTCTCCCTCCCCTGACCTTTCACCCTCAAGTAGGCCTAGTGTCTGTTCTTCCCCTCTGTGTGTCCATGTGTTCTCATCATTTAGCTCCCACTTATAAGTGAGAACATGTGGTATTTGGTTTTCTGTTCATACATCACTTACTAAGGATAATGGCCTCCAGCTCTATCCGTGTTCCTGCAAAGAGCATGATCTCATTCTTTTTTATGACTGCATAATATTTTATGGTGTATATGTACATTTTCTTTATCTAGTCTACCATTGATGGGCATTTAGGTTGATTCCATGTCTTTGCTATTGTGACTAGTGCTGCAACGAACGTATGTGTGCATGTGTCTCTATGATGGAACCATTTCTATTACTTTGGGTATATATCCAGTAGTGGCATTTCTGGGTCAAATGGTAGTTCTGCTTCTAGCTCTTTGAGGAATTACCACACTGCTTTCCACAAGGGTTGAACTAATTTACACTCCTCCTAACAGTGTATAAGCATTCCCTTTTCTCTGCAAACAATACTTAACTCTTTAATTATCTTGACTGGTCATCGACATTTAAAGATGAGTCAGTACAATAGACATTTCACCGTCAGGCAAAGAGTTTCTGCAGATCTTGAATAAAAAGTACCTGACTTTGTGAAAGGAAAAATGAATCACTGGTGGAATGAAAATCTATGATTTTGTCAAATAGAAGGAAAAGAAAGAACTCAATCTTTACTTGGATTGTAGAAAATAAGGTCAATTCAAACGATTTGAGATATGAATATGAAAGAGAGAAAACTCTGTGTTTCTTAGGTACCTTTTGTGGTCTCCGATTCTTTACCTCTTCTTACTTGCCATGGTAGGTGACATTATTTTTCCCCAAGTCTCCCTTGTCTCTTACCCTAAATAGACTAAACATCTCTGCCCCATTAGTATTGGTTTTGACGATGTGACTGGCTTTGGCCAACAGAATGTAGGAAAAGGTGTCAAAGTGTGGGCTTAGAGTTTACAAAGTAAGAGGCATTCTGTGTTTCTTCTTCTTTTTTTTTTTTTTTTTGAGATAGAGTCTTGCCTTGTCACCCAGGCTGGAGTGCAGTGGCGCGATCTCAGCTCACTGCAACCTCCGCCTCCCAGGTTCAAGTGATTCTCCTGCCTCAGTGTCCCAAGTAGCTGGAACTACAGGCCTGTGCCACCTTACCTGGCTCATTTTTATATTTTTAGTAGAGACGGGGTTTCACCATGTTGGCCAGGCCAGTCTTGAACTCCTGATCTCAGGTGATCCACCCTCGTCGGCCTCCCAAAGTGCTGGTATTACAGGCTTGAACCACCACACCCAGCCACGTTTCTGATTGCTATGCTGGGATTACAGGCATGAGCCACCATGCACGGTCATACTTCTGATTGCTATTCTGGTACCACTGTCATTGCCCATGAAAGAGCACGCCCCAGGTAGTACACAGGGAGTAAACGTAAACCCGATTTGCAGCCTGAAGCTGAGCTGTCTTGACTAACCCACAGACCTATGAGCAAAAATAAACAAGTAGGTAAATTTATATGACAAATACACTATTTAATTAATGTTGTTGTAAACCAATGCAATTCTGAGGTTATTTGTCACACAGCATTGATGCAGCAATAACCGACTAATACATATTAATTGACATTTTTTGATCTGCTCACAATCTGTGCATTAGCACCCTCCTCAAAAAGAGCTTGTTAATACTACCCAAAGAAACAATAGTGACTTCTAGGCCGGGCGCGGTGGCTCAAGCCTGTAATCCCAGCACTTTTGGGAGGCTGAGACGGGTGGATCACAAGGTCAGGAGATCGAGACCATCCTGGCTAATGCGGTGAAACCCCGTCTCTACTAAAAAATACAAAAAACTAGCCAGGCGAGGTGGCAGGCGCCTGTATTCCCAGCTACTCGGGAGGCTGAGGCAGGAGAATGGCCTGAACCCGGGAGGCGGAGCTTGCAGTGAGCTGAGATCCGGCCACTGCACTCCAGCCTGGGCGACAGAGCGAGACTCCATCTCAAAAAAAAAAAAAAAAAAAAGGAAACAATAGTGACTTCTTAAATCGTAATTAACAGACTATTTGATAACCTGTCATTGCATTTATAGTCATGCATAGCTTAATTATAAGAATACATTCTGGAAAATGCATCATTAGGCAGTTTTGTCAATGGAGTAAACATCACAGGGTATACTTCCACGAGCCTGGAAGGTATAGCCTACTACACACCTAAGCTACAGAGTATAGCCCATCACTCCTAGGCTGCAAACCTGTACAGCATATTACCATACTGAATACGGCAGGCAATTGTAACAGAGTGATAAGCATTTGTTTACCTAAACATAGAAAAGCTATAGTAAAAATACAATATAAAAGGTAAGTACCCAACAGGGTACTTACCACGAATGGAGGCTATAGCACTGGGTGAGTCAGTGAGTGAGTGCTGACTGAATGTGAAGGCCTAGGACATTACTGTACACTGTAGACTTGATAAACTGTACACTTGGGTGATACTACATTTATTTTTTAAAAAGTTACTTCTAGCTGCACATGGTGACTCACACCTGTGAGCACTTTGGGAGGCTGAGGCGGGTGAATTTCTTGAGTCCCAGAGTTCGAGACCAGCCTGGCCAACATGGCAAAACTCCATCTCTACAAAAATCACAACAATTAGCCAGTCATGGTGGTACATGCCTGTAATCCCAGCTGCTTGGAAGGCTGAGGCGGGGGATTGTTTGAGCCTGGGATGCAGAGGTTGCAGTGAGCTGAGATCACACCATTGCACTCCAGCTTGGGCAACAAAGTGAGACCTTGTCTCAAAAGAAAACAAATTATTTCTTCAATAACAAATTAATCATAGCTTACTGTAACTTTCTTACTTTATAAACTTATTTTTTAACTTTTTGACTTTTGTAATAACACCTAGCTTAAAACATAAACATATTGTACAGTTGTATAAAAATATCTCCTTATTCTATATATGCTTTCTATTAAAAAAAATTTTTTTTTCTCTTTTTAAACTTTTCTGTTAAAAATTAAGGCACAAAGAAAAACATTAGCCTGGGCCTACCCTGGGTCAGGATCATCACAATCACTGCCTTCCACCTCCACATCTTGTCCCACTGGAAGGTCTTCAGGGGCAATAACAGGCATGTGTTCATCTCTATGACATGGAGACCTGCCATCTCCTATGACAACAATACCTGCTTCTGGAACATCTCCTGCAGCACCTACCTGAGGCTGTTTTACAGTTATTATTTTTTTAATACGTAGGAGTATACTCTAAAGTAACCATAAAAGTACAGGATGGTAAATATATAAACCAGTAACATTGTCTTTTACTATCATCATCAAGTACTCTGTACTGTACATAATTGCATGTGCTAGACTTTTATACGAGTGGCAGCAAAGTAGGTTTGTTAACAATAGCATCACCACAAACACGGGAGAAATGTGTTGCACTGCCATTGCTATGTATGACATCACTAGGCAATAGGAACTTTTCAGCCCCATTTTTTTCTCTTCTTCTTTTTGAGATGGAGTCTCAGCTCTGTTGCCCAAGCTGGAGTGCTTGGTGCAATCTTGGCTCACTCTACAACCTCTGCTTCCCAGATTCAAGCAATTGTCCCACCTCATCCTCCCAAGTAGTTGGGACAACAAGCATGCACCACCATGCCCGACTAATTTTTGTATATTTTGTAGAGACAGGGTTTCACTGTTGTTGTCCAGGCTAGTCTCAAACTCCTGACCTCAAGTGATCCGCCCACCTCAGCCTCCCAAACTGCTGGGATTATAGGCTTGGCCACCATGCCTGGCCTTTTCAGCTCCATTATAATCTTACAGGACCACCGTCATATATGTGGTCCATCACTGACCGAAACGTCATACTGTGCATGACTGTAATTCTCACAACAGGAAATAAAGTCCAGAGAGGTAATACAACTTGTATAACATCACGCACTGACTAACAGCTAGGGCTGGGGCTTGAACTCAAGTCAAATTAATTAATAAGGCACCCCGCATGCATACAGAACTACAAAGACCAGTGATACAAATAGTCTAATAAAATTAAGGTGCTGAGATGTTGACAACAGATACGCCCTGGAGACAACTGCCAGCTGAAATGGAAAACAAGGAGAATCACATCAATGTGGTCAGAGAATGTCACTGGATTTTCACTGGTATTCATTTCTTACATTCCTCTGTATTTGGGGAGGAATCTGACATGTCAATGTTATTTGAAAAGCAAATCTTTCATTTCCTAGGGAAATTCTTCCCCTGTGACATCGGGTACAGCTCTGTGGCCACATAAAATGTCACAGTAAACAACTCAATATATATTTCAAACGTTAATTGTCTTCCCAGACCTTGGAATTTCTCACTGAGCTCATTCACAAGTTTTATTGAGGGCATAAAATTGATTGTGTTGACATACTCTTTAAAGTGCTGAATTCATCAAGGCCAAAGCAAGCCTGGATGACATTATGGAGAGTGAGTCCAAATTTTTTCACTGGAAGTTTTGTTCTACGCTTCTCTTTTTACATCACAACCCCAATTAAGCGGCTGGAAGGAAAAAAAAAATGCCACCGCTTTTTAAAGGACATGCAATGATCCTTTTCCAGGCACATTCACATAGAACCATAATGAAGCCACATTATCTATTCTAAAGAAGTCTGGGGCCCCAGCAACCGGACTAAATGATGAGAGTCTGTGTTTGAAATGTCTCGGCGGGATGGTCCAGTGTCAGAGGGGTCCCTGGAGATCCTCAGATAAAAGGAGTTTGCTATGGGACTTTTTGATTTGTTTAAAGAGAAGTTCCTTGTGACATGATGTCTTCAACTGATAATTGTTCAACATTTTGCTTCTCAGAGGCTTTGCTTGCAACTCACATGTCAACATGCTTGGCGAAGAGAATATCTTAAAATATAAAAGATCCCAACACGGAGAGAAAGGCCCAGCCTCCTGTGAAGGCCTTAGCAAAGAAAACAGCGAGGTGAAAAAAAGAACAGGTTGCTTTTGGAATATATTTTAGATGTCGACAACAAATACCATGCAAGGGGTTATAAAAACACCAATAAAGAAATGAAGGACAGAGAGGTACCCATTCCCCAAGGCAATAATCAGAAGTCATCCAACAGTTTTACTCCCTCATTTACTCCAACCCAAATATTTACTAAGAACTCTGAAGCCAAACTGCCTGGGTTCAAATCCTGCCTCCTCCATTTACATGTAACACCACTTTGGGCAACTTAATTCTTCTCCGCCTCAGTTTCACATCTACAAAAATGACGATTATAATAATACTTTTATCATAGAATTGTTAGAAAGATAAAGGAAGTCGGTGAAGGTACAATGCTTAACTATATGCTGGGCACGGGCTCACAGTATACTAATTATTACAAGTATGCAAGTTTTCTTGTGGATCTTACATTTTAGTAATGGAAATGGTCCACTAAATGTACATTTATGACCCAGTGTGAAAAAGCCTTGAGATGCCTATTTTATCCAAGGAAGAGTATTTTCCTGGATACTATGGCCATCTGCCCCACTCAGTAGAGAGAGACAAACTCATGCAGACCCATAGATGATCATTCCATTTTGATTGTGTAGTAGTTATCTGTTGCTGTGTAGCAAATTACCCCAAAATGTAATGGTGTAAAAATACAAACACTATTTCTGTGGGTCTGAAACCTTGGGAGCAGCTTGGCTGGGTGCCTCTGGCTCAAGGTCAGTTAGGCAGTTGCAGTTGTCAGTGCCGAAATTTCGCTTGAGGACACAACTTAAGAGGATTCAGTTTCAAAGTCACTCGGGTGGATCTGGGCAGGCCACAGGCCTCTGTTCCTGCCACATGGGTCTCTTCCCAGACCTGCCTCATCACATGGAGACTGGCTTCACCTGGAGTGAGTGATCTAAGAGGAAGTAAGACAGGGAATACCGAAGGTCATTACCACAGTCATTTTATGATGTAAACGTTGAAGTGACAGCTCATCAGCTCATCCCTTCTGCCTCTTTTTTTTTTTTTTAAGATTGAGATTCACTCTTGTTGCCCAGGTTGGAGTGCAATGGCACGATCTTGACTCGCTGCAACATCTGCCTCCTGGGTTCAAGCGATTCTCCTGCCTCATCCTCCCGAGTAGCTGGGATCACAGGCACTCACCAATACACCCAGCTAATTTTTGTATTTTTAGTAGAGACGGAGTTTCACTATGTCGGCCAGGCTGCTTTCGAACTCCTGACCTCAGGTGATCCACTCGCCTCAGCCTCCCAAAGCGCTGGGATTACAGACGTGAGCCACCACACCCGGCCTTCTGCCATATTTCATTTGCAAGAAGTAAGCCAATAAATCCAGCCCACGCTCAAGGGGTAGGGATTCCACGGAGCATGAATACTGGGATGTAGCAATGCTTGAGGGGCTCTCTTACTGTGTCTATTGTGGTCTGTTGGATCATTTCAGGCACTTTGGAAGAGATCTGGCAAAAAAGCACAGAAAGCAAGGAAGTTAAAAATTCTACTGTCCATTGTTTTTATCACAAGCCACGAAGCTAACACCAAAAAGAGGGAGAGAAGCCAGTCAATCCATTCAAGTGTCTACTCAAATGCCATCTTTTCAAAGAAGCCTCCCTTAGACCACCTTGTTAGTGTTTCCTCTCTTCCCATTGCCCATTATCTGATCTTGTTCTTGCTTTCATTCTTATATGACATAGCATTTATTTACTTGTTTATTATATTTCCCTACCCACTATATTGCAAACTTCACAAAGGCAGGGACCCTGTCCATCTCGAATCTCAGCACAACAGCAGATATTTATCAAATGATTACAGGGCTCTCTATATAAACAAGAGGCACATCTGACGTACAGTCCCTAAAATGTGGTTGGAAAGACCAGGGTAGAAACAGGAAACAGTAAGAAATAAGTATTTGCCATGATTTCTGTCTTTAATTGCAATCTGGTTAGAAGACCGAAGAAGCCAGAGAGATCTCAGTGAAGAAAACAAAGCTGATCAGGGATTCGCAGCGTGTTGTGGATTTGGTAAAGCAGAGAGATGAGCTCTATTTAAGGGAGGAAGAGTGTGAGTAGCAGGTGGATAGGTAAGGAGGGATCAGGTTCAAGCTTAGAAAGCTAAGCAGGGCGCATGCAACAAGCTGAAAGCCAATCCCAATTCCTTGCCAGTAGCCCGGCCGACTGATACACTGAGGCCATGTGTCTCCATGCACCACTCAAACAGCTGAGCAAAAGCATTGATATTGCCAGGCTTTTTCCTAGAGTCTCTAAAAATGTCCCCAAATGAGAAACACTGCATCTCTCACAAAACTAGATATGTGTCCCTTTAGAAGAATTTGCTGCCAACTTGTCTTTCCAGCATGAGTGAACATCTTTGAGGATCACCTAATTCTCTTTACTCCGATGCTGTGCTCACCCAGTAACCTGTTGAGGAGTGATTGACAGCCCAGAGATTTCTACAATGATCCAGCTTGAGCCAAGTGACCATCACTGAACCAGTCCCTTGGGGCCAGGGCAATGGTATTCCCTGATTGGCCAGCCAAGGACATGTGACTGCCCTGTTGCCATGGAGCGAGGTCAGTCACAGACACAACAAAGTGACATGATCTGGAAACTGAAGGAAGATGGTGCTCCCAATTAAAACTGGAATGACTTTGTCCAAAGATGATGAAGGATCCTGGGAAGATAAAAAACAGATGTTCACATAACATCCTGAACCACCTTAAGCAAATCACATCGCGTTTCTAAGTACAGTTGTCGGTATCACAGTCCCTTAAGAGGAATTTTCACACACTCAGACTGTGTGGAAGAACAGAGATTGTTTAAACTAGATGCCAGGGAGGGAACCTCACGGTGTGTGAACCACCTACCAAACATGCCATAAAGAAAGATAAATAAGCTAAATGTGATACCTCACACCTGTGATCACAGCACTTTGGGAGACTGAGGCAGGCAGACCACTTGAGCCAAGGCATTCAAGACCACCCTGGGCAACATAGTGAGACCCCATCTCTACAAAAAATACAAAAAATAGCCAGGCGTGATGGCACGTGGCTGTAGTCCCAGCTACTCAGGAGGCTGAGGTAGGAGGATCACTTGAGCCTGGGAGGTCAAGGCTGTAGTGAGTCATGATTTCACCACTGCACTCCAACCTGGGCAACAGAGGAAGACCCTGTCTCAAAAAACAAGAAAGAAAGAAAAATAGTATATTTACTGTATCTCTCTCAAGAGTAGGCTTAGGGATATAGTAGGCACTCAATAGATGTTTGTTATAAATGGCAGAAATCCATGAGAAAGAGGGACCTCTTACAGATTAAAAGAGACTTAGAAGCATTTATGTGCTAAGGTACATAAGTCCTCATTTCTCCTGGATAAATAATTAGAAATGAGATGGCAGGATTATATGCAGAAATATGTATTAGTTTGCTATTGCTGCTGTAACAAATTACCAGAAACTTAATGGCTTAAAACAACAGAAATTTACTATGCTACAGTTGTAAAGGTCAGAACTTTGGAATTCATAGGAAGCACTTTTGGAAGCACAGGCAGACCTGTATTCCTTTTGAAAGCTCTAGGGAAGACTCATTCTCTTGTCTTTTCCAACTTCTAGAAGCCACCTGCATTCCTGGACTCATGGCCCCTTTTCCTTTTCAAAGTCAACAATGTAGCATCTTTACATTTCTTTCTCTGGCCCTCCTGCCATCCTCTTATATGAATATTTATAATTACATTGGACCACACAGATAATCCACATAATCTTCCCATCTCGAAATCTTTAACTGAATCACAACTGCAATGTCCTTTTTTTTTTTTTTTTTTTTTTTTTTTGAGACAGAGCCTCACTCTGTTGCCCAGGCTAGAGTGCAGTGGCACCATCTCAGCTCACTGCAACCTCCGCCTTCTGGGTTCAAGCGATTCCCTTGCCTCACCCTCCCAAGTAGCTGGGACTACAGGCACATGCCACCATGCCCAGCTAATTTTTGTATTTGTAGTAGAGACGGGGTTTCACCATGTTGGCCAGGCTGGTCTCGAACTCCTGACCTCAAGCAATCTGCCCGCCTCAGCCTTCCCAAGTGCTGGGATTACAGGTGTGAGCCATCATGCCCGGCTTCTTTTTCTATGTAATATATTCACAGGTTGCAGGGATTAGCACGTGTGCTTCTTTGGAAGGTGAGACATTATTCTGCCTACCACAGTGTTTAACTCTTTGAGAAACTGTCTAACTGTTCTCCAAAGTAGCCGTATCATTTTACATCCCCACCAGCAGTATGAGAGATCATGTTGCTCCTCATCTTTCCAACATCTGGCATAGTCAGTCTTTTTTCTTTTTCTTTGAGACAAGGTCTCACTCCATTACTCAGGCTAGAGTACAGTGGCACGATCTCTGCTCACTGCAGCCTCGACCTCCCGAGCTCAAGTGATCCTCCCACCTCAGCCTCCCAAGTAGCTGGGACTACAGGCATGCACCACCATGCTGGTTTAATTTTGTTTGTTTGTTGTAGAGACAAGGTCTCACTGTGTTGCCCAGGTTCATCTCGAATTCCTGGGCTTAAACAATCCTCCCACCTCAGCCTCCCAAAGCACTGGGGTTTTGAGGCATCGAACCACTGTGCCCACATCAGCTTTTTCTATTATAGCGATTTTATAATACTGGGTATCCTTATTTTCTGGTTTTTATTTTGCCTTTTCCGAAGTAAAAGATGCTAAGTATATTTTCATGTGCTTATTTGCCATCTGTATATTCTTCTTTGTTGGAAGTAGCTGTTTTAAATCTTTTACCCATTTTTAATTAGGTTGTTCATTTTCTCTCCATTGAGTTTTGAGGGTTCTTTATATACTCTGGATATAAGTCTTTTGTTAGATCTATGCTTTGCAAAATTTTCCAGTCTCTGCTTATTTTTTTTCATTCTTCTTAACAGCCCTTACTTCATAATAGCAAAACTGGGAATTATCCAATATTCAGCACCACAGATGCACAGAACTAAATTATG